TCTTCAGCTAAATTAATATGGGGGATTTTCTTACTTCCTTGTGTTTAACACAGTTCTAAGTGGAAAGAGCACAAAGATGTAAGTTCTTCCTGTTGCTTTTATCAAAGCAATGGGATCTGTGGATGCTCTAACTTCAATCCATGCACTTGGGTAATCATGTGGTTCTTTACCAGCCACGCAAATGATGGGCCATGGCAGAAACATCAAATTCAGGTTTGAGGACTGCTGACAACCTTTTCTCCCCCAGCATCAGAAATGATTGTAAAGCAATTTCATTGCTAAACTGACAATACTTGCATCAGCTAGATGAATTTTTTCCCTTTAGTCACATGTTAACTTTGGCCTCTGGTAATGACTCTGAGTGAGTGGAATCCTCAAAAAAGAACAGATCAATGAAATTTGTTTCGGCTGAACATCCATTGAATTACACAAGGTTTTGTGCTTATACTTCTAACAAGAGAAAATAGGAAAATCCTCCCCAGTATCTCTACTGTGTCTCAGTACTCAGTCAAAATGGGGTTGAATAAGAAAGTGTGAAATAGATATACATGTATATATTACACTGTTTGTTTATTAAGGGAGAGTTGAATCAAAGTTTTAGTGTTTAAATAGAAATTGTCTTGTTAGAAGGGAGAAAAGAACACAATAGAAGCTTGTGGCATATTCAAGAACAGTCTGTGTTTCAACACAGCCTGTGGAAACAATTATGTATTTACCTTATGATGGCACTGGTCATGGACACAGTCCTGTAATGCCATCTTCTCTACAACTCCAGAACAGATGTTCCCAGCTCTGGACAACTGGTAACATAAACCCAGGCCAATTTGTTTTCATCTTTGTATTGTGGTCATACAGATATTTGGGGTTCTTCTCTGTAATACCACCTCCATCCTGTGGTCATGTTTTTCATCTGTGGATCTGAGTAGTGTTCACAGAAGAAGAAATGATCAGGAGGAGGAAAGGGGCTGGGAAGGGACTGAGGCACAGAGAAGTCGATGATAACTTCCTTCTCCAAGTGGTAGAGGAGCCAACGAGGAGAGGTGCTGTGCTGGACCTTGTTCTCACCAACAAGGAGGGGCTGGTGGGGAATGTGAAGCTCAAGGGCAGCCTGGGCTGCAGTGACCACGAAATGGTGGAGTTCAAGATCCTGAGGGCAGCGAGGAGGGCGCACAGCAAGCTCACTACCCTGGACTTCAGGAGAGCAGACTTTGGCCTCTTCAGGGATCTGCTTGGCAGAGCGCCATGGGACAAAGCCCTGGAGGGAAGAGGGGCCCAAGAAAGCTGGGTAATATTCAAGGATCACCTCCTTCAAGCTCAGGAGCAATGCATCCCAAC